CTCCCCGCCCCGCCTTTATTTTTATTTTTTAGAGCTTTCCCAGGGTTTATGTGGAAATTCTTGCCAAATGTTTGGTTGCCCACAGCCATTTAGTCCCAAAGAAACACACAGAGGTTTATGTTAATTACAAACTGTTTGGCGTATTATTCAGGCTTATTACTAACTAAATCTTACAACTTAAATCAACATTTAATTCTTCTCTTTGTTTAGCCATGTGGCTTGGTACCTTTTCTCAGTGAGGCGTTCTTTGTCACTAAAACACCTGTGCTGGCTAATTTATAACAATAGAGAGTCAGATCTTAGAAATGAAAAATGATTTATGGGCAGCTTGGAGATTTTTTTCACCAGCATCGTAATCCTTAACTGATCTCATTTCAAATAAAGAACAACACCACATTGTTACAATCTTTTATTTAAGTTACTTTAAGTTGTATTTTTGTTGTTTTGTTTTGCTTTTTCTTTTGTTTTTTTCAAGACAGGGTTTCTCTGTATAACAGCTCTGGCTGTCCTGTACCTCACTCTGTAGACTAAGGTGGCCTCGAACCCACAGAGCTTCGTCTACCTCCTGAGTGTTGGGATTTAAAGGCATGCATTATCACTACCTTGCATTTTTTTTTAAGATGGATTTTATTTGTATGCATGTTTGCCATGTGAGGGCAGGTGCCCAGGGAGGCCAGAAGAGAGCATCAAATCCCCTGGAGCTGGACTCACACAGCTCTCAGCTGCCCAACATGATTGCTGGGAAATAAATTCGGGTCTTCTGGAAGAGCTGTAAGCACTCTTAACTGCTGAATCATCTCTGCAGCCCCTTATTTATTTATTTGTTTGTTTGTTCATTTATTATGTGGGTTTGTGTGTGCAACTGCACATGTGTAGAGTTCTAAGGACACCATATGGATCCCAAGGAATGAACTCAGGCTGTTAGACTTCCAGTAAGTACTGTTACCCACTGAGGTTTTTAAAACCATCCCCTTTATTATTGACCATTGATCATTGCCATATTTGCCTCAAAGGAACCTAGGAAGGAGATGGTAGCAGAATGACTTTCGTTCCCTTTTTTTTCTATTTAGTAATCCATGTTACAGTTATCTCACTGACTGATTGATTAGGTTTATTTTGTGATGCCAGGGATTGAACACATGGCTTTGCATATGCTAGGGATGTCCTTTGCTACTGCCCTCTTAATTGCTAAGCGCTCTCCTTTCATTCCCAATTTTCATTATATTATGCATATGTGTTTGAGTGTGTACTCTGTGTGTGTGTGCCTGTGCCTGTGACCACAGAGGCCAGAGGAGGGTGTTAGATCTCCTTGGAGCTTTAGTTACAGGCAGTTATGAGCTGCCCAACATGGTTTCTGGGAGCTGCATTTGGGTCCCCTACATAAGAACAGTCAGTGCTCTTAATTGCTAAGCTATTTCTCCAGTCTCTAGGCATGATTTCTTTAATTTTGTACTGTGTGTTTTTGTATGTCTGTATGTGTAGATCATAGGTCATCCTTGAATGTCATTCCTCAGGTACTAATCATCTTGTTATTTGAGATAGGCTCTCTCGCCTGGTCTAGAATTTACCAATTAGATTAGGATAGCCAGCCAGTAAACCCTAGAGACTTGTTTGTCTTCTTCTCCCTAGTGCTTAGATTGCAGGCATATGCCACAGTGCCTAGTTTTTTTGTTTGTTTGTTTTTTTGTTTGTTTTTAATAAGAATTGTGAGGTTCAAATTTAGGTCTTCATGCTTGCATGGCTAGTATTTTACCCACTGAGCTATCTCCAACGGACCAAGTTTGTGTTTTTATTTTGAGTAATTTGAAGTGTTTGATAAGTCCACTTCCTTCAGGAATAGTTGTTTTCTGCTTTCCCCCATATAGGACTATCTATACTTAATTTGTATGTCTTTTTGTTGAGAAGTAGACAATTAAAACTTTTGGCAATTATGGAAGTGGACCACACAACATACCATACCATATACATAGAGCACCACAAACAAGGTTAATCATTGCTGTTACTATTTGTTTACTAATGTTATTATAACAGAAATCAAAGGCTGGCAGATTAAACCACAGAAATTTAGTTGCCTTAGTTCTGTCGATCAGAAGTCCAAAATAGTGTCAAGCCTGTAAGTTTCTTATAGACACTGAGCAGAGGCCTTCTGGGTTCTGGAATGGCTATCTTCATGTTTATGTTTTTCCTTGAAAGTATGTTTCTTTCTTAAATTCTTCTGTTTATAAGGAATTAGTCCTGGGGATAGTACTGTGTCCTAATGTAGGGCCCCTTTTACCCATGTAGTTACGTTCTAAGGTAATAAGGGTTAGGACTTCAACTTGTAAATTTTGGGGCAGAAGACACAGTTTATAGTTTAACTTATAGTAATATCTTTCCCAGATAGTAATTGTAAAGAATTATCTGTATTCTTGAGTATTATCTATTTTTTTGTAACGTGTCTACTAAGTTCATTTAGATTAGCTGATCATACTAGTAGTACCTCTCTTAGCCTTTGCCATTGTTAGTAATTGCAAGTTTTTATCATACTGATTCTGCTCACATTTTATGATTCTTAGATTGTCCTACGTAGTGGGTAAACGTTTAGTTTTAGATCATTGCTGGCATGTAAATACAACTTACTGTTTGTGTATTGACTATATCTTGCCACTTTGGTGACAGGGTCTTGGTACATAGCCCAGTCTGGCAAGGAACTAAGGATTCTCCTGCCTTATCTTAATAAGTGTTGGGCATGTAGACATACACCACCATGAATACTAGCTGATATTCTCCGAATTTTCCATCTGTGTTTTTGACAGTTGCTATTGTGTAAGCTTCATCTCATGGTTTCTTACTTTCTTCTGATGTTTTAATATGGTACTGGTAGCATCATAAACTAAGCTGTGAAGTATCATCCTTGAGTTTGTGTAGATACAGCTGGTATTATTTCTTCCTTAAATGTGGAGTGGTCATCATTGCCAGTGGTGAGGTCATTTAGACCTGAAGTTTTCTAAGTGGCATGGTTTATAATCACACATTTGGTTGTCTTGAGTGGATGTTGCTGAAGGCTGTTGTGTAAGTCTGATTATCAAGATGCTGTTCCTCAGTATCTAGAGTGTAGATTTTCATGGGCTGGAGTAGCTTGTGCTTCTTTGTCATCTATGGGCACTGAGCAGTTGAGTCTCCCAGAAATAGCAGTGATTATCTGTAGGTAACTTTGCCATTTCATTACACTGAAGAAACACTCCACAGAGATGTTTGCTGTGGGCTTTATGTTTAGAGTCTTGCACCAAACACAGACATCTTTGTGTTTCTGAGTGTGTGTTCTTCAATGGGTATGCTAGTCAGGGTTTTTCAGGGAAGAGATTGGGGTTGGAGATAATTCACTGTCTCCCTGTTCAGCCCTGATGTCCAGGTGTCAACTGCTGGTTAGAGCAAGCTCAGATAGGCTGATGTTGGTAATCAGGTCCTTGTGGTTAGTTCCAGGGCCTAACTCCTGGTAAGGGTGAATGGCTTATATATGTTTGAAGGCAGAGACATCTTATGATGCCTGTTTGAAGACAATAACGAAGCCACGACAGTTGGAATTCATGCTTACCAGTCTTGGCTGGGCTCTTCATCTACTAAATTCCTCCACACTGTTGTTACCTGAGCAGTGCAGACATAGGAGAGCCGTTCAAGTGTCATTCTAGAGAGGACTTGATGTAGCTTTTTCATGTCATCCAAGGTCTGGGCTCTGGGGCTACCTAGCAGGCTAGTGAGAGACCTTCGGCTCCCAGCAGAGATCCTCTGGCTGGTGGAGTCTATTGTTTAATGTTTGTTTTAAGCTCTTTGTTCCTATTTGCTTGTCAACTGAAAAGTTAAGCTTTGTTCTAAGTCCCTGGGGATTCTGGTCTGGGTTGTATTATATGTTTCTGAAAAGGAAGGACTAATCTCTGGTACCTAAGAATGTGGCCTTACTTTGGAGACTATGATGCTACAGGTATAATTTAATTGATTTGTGGTTGAAAAATTGTGACTGGTTTTCCAGAGGTGAGAAAAAAAGAGATCTAGTAAAGATTGTCTTGGCGCTGCCGTAAGCCATAGGACCTGAAAAGGATTTTCCCATGTAGTCTCTGCAGAGGGAGTACAGCTTTGCTGGTTACCCTGAATTTTACTTCTCACCTTTAGAATTGTGAGAGAACCCACTATTATTGCTTAAAGTCACCCAGTTTGCGGTACAGATATGTGTTACTTTTGTAAACTCTATAAAGGGTCCCTATACGAACTAGGGTGACTCTAATGTTGCTAGGTAATAAAATCCTATGGGACTACTCTTGTGTATATGATTCATCATCAGCAGGTAGATTTATCCTTGCATGACTGTATTTTGTTTCTGCAGTCTGTCCCAGAGATGTACAGTGATGGTCTGTGCTATGGAGTGAGCTGAGCTATCTGGCATCTCCTGTTTAGGGTCAGTCTGAGATCAAGTCAGGGGAGGTTCTGTTAGTTACTAATTTCTGAGCCTCTATCCTTTGTCCCATGCATTTTATAGCTGCTTCTCCCACCCCTAGCCTACCTGAGTCTTGCTGTGCAAAATTTCTCTCCTCATGTGTTTTACTTTTCTATTACTCTGACAAAACGCTATGACTGAGGCAACTTATAGAAGGGTTTATTGGGGTTTACAGTTTCAGAGGGTTTGTTTATGACCATCTTGGTGAGAGGCATGGTGGCTGGCAGGCAGGCAGGCAGGCATAGTGCTCAAGCAGTAGTTGAGAGCTCACGTCTCATCCACGAGGAGGTGGGATTGGGTGGTAAATCTAACTAGGAATGGTATGGGCTTTTGAAACCTTAAAGCCCACCCATAGTGACACACCTTGTCCTAATCTCTCCCAAACAGTTCTACCAACTAAAAGGGATATCAGGTATGACATGATCTAGTGAGGTGACAGGATGTTCTGCATGTGAGGGAAGCACACAGTGTGGCACGACTCTTAAGAAGTCTGGGCTTGCTCGGGATTCACAAGTATGTGCTTTTGTTTTAGTATTTTAACCACATCAGCATTGAGGATTCACGAGTCTACGAACTGACCAGCAAGGCCGGGCTGTTGTCTCCGTATCAGATCCTCCATGAGTGCCTTAAAAGGTAGAGTAGACAGCAGCTTCCTCAAAAATCAAGTCATGACAGCTCCTCTGGGCATCTCAAATTTTTACTTGGATTTTGTCCCAAGGCATTATCTGTTTGCCTGGATATACATGAGCCCCTTGGCTCTGACTGATAGGCCAGTGCTGGGTAACTGAAGAGTGAGGGTAATCTTCCTTAGTCATCTAGGGAGGTGTTCGGGTTTTCTCTGAAGAGTTGCTAATGGACTTTGTCATTTGGTAGCCCTCCTTAGAAGTCACCATGTACAAGTACCATCCACTGATGTTTCCTTGTCATCTTTGTTTTCTCCTGAAAGAAACCATGGAATGGGTGACACATCCATCAAGTTTGAAGTGGTTCCTGGGAAAAACCAGAAGAGCGAATATGTCATGGCGTGCGGCAAACACACAGTGCGCGGGTGGTGTAAGGACCTGTCTCCTCCCCTGCTTCCCTAATAGCCTGGCATGTTTTCAGAGGACTGCTGGGGTATGGCCAGCAGTTTCTGACATGAGGGGGTGTGGCCTACCTAATCTACTACTGCTTTGGCAGTCATCCCAAGTAAGCCCCGACTTTGTGTGGGCCACCTTCATCTGAAGCTAGAGTTGTGGTGACCCTGCCTGCATTCTTCCTTCTGTTCCACTGTTGCTTCTCTTACCTCTAACCAGCCAGTCTCTGGATGAGGGATTGGCTTTCTGAGGAGCAGGCTGAGGTGCCTTCTGATGGCTATCTATCCATCTGTACTCCTGTATTCTGGTTTCTAGGCACCACCTTACTCTGCTTTCACATTGACATAGGTACTTAGTAAAGGCCAACATAAAGCCAGTAGTTCCAGCTTAGGAGGAGGCTGGGCAGGAGAATCAATCATGAGGATATGAGTTCAGAATTAGCTTGAACAACATAGTAAGACCGTGTTCTTTTAAAAAAAAAAAAAAAAGGCCAGGCATGGTGGCACATGCCTTTATTCCTAGCACTCAAGAGGCAGAAGCAGGCAGATCTTAGTGAGTTCAAGGCCAGTCTGGTCTACAAAGCAAGTTCCAGGACCGGCCAGAGCTGTTACACAGAGAAGCCCTATCTTGAAACAACCCCCCCCCAAAAAAAAAAGGTGTGTTTACCATAAAGTAAGACACTAAGTAATCACTATAAGGAAAACTTAGTTTTATATATATTAGGGGATGATCCCTAGAGGACCCTGGGAAATTACAGACCCACATCTAGACCTGGATGTTCCCAGTTACCGATGCTGCACACTACAAACTCTAGTCCCCACAGGGGTAGGCTGCTGAGAACGTTGAGAGAGTGAGCAGTCCAATGATCTTTCAGCCTAAAGAGCTCTCCTGGCTCAGGGCATCCTTCATATGGAGGCTCCACCAAGGCACCTACCCTCAGGAGTCATAGACATTATAGGAATCCTTGCTGCTGCTGGTCTGTGTGTTGCAGGAAAGTGGGGTGGAGTGGGACACTGGAGAGAAGGAACCTTCATTGTCTTGGCTAATAGCTTTTCCACTTGTCCTCGTCTGGATCTCCTGAAAGCTGCTCGGCAGAGTGGTACCTGGGTCCAGGTCTCAGGACTGTGAGTCATGGTGTCTAGCACAGTGGGAAAGCACTGTCTACCCTCCTGTGGAATTCCCTGCATGGCTCCCTAGATACCAAGGAAAGGTTCTTCTGTTTGGATATTTGTGACTCCTCTCCACCTTTGCTTTTTTCCTCTCACAGGTAAGAATAAACGAGTTGGGAAACAATTAGCCTCTCAAAAAATCCTTCAGCTGCTGCACCCACATGTCAAGAATTGGGGGTCCTTACTGCGCATGTATGGCCGTGAGAGCAGCAAAATGGTGAAGCAGGTAACCAGACTGTCAGGACATCGGCAGCTGCTCTGCTTCCCTGTTTCTTGCTTTGGAGCTCATTTCTAAGTGTGCTGTCAAGGTCAGGCCTAGCACTGCTTTTATCTCTCCTTTGTTGTGCCAGTGATTGTACAGGCTGAGGGTAGGGACACCCAAGCTACATCTTACTCTTGAACCTGCCAAGCATTTAAGTACAAGCCATGCCTAGAGCACCAGGGCTGCAACATACCATTAGTAGGTGCAGGCAATGAACACTACCTGGTGCTGAGTTGTGTGAAGGCTTGGGAGCTGTCCTTTAGCAGTTCCCACACGGTATATACTTGTTTAGTTGAAAATCTCAGTGGCTTACAGAATATAAATACTGCCTATTTTGTTTCTGTAGCTTTTATCTAGTTCTCAGAATTTAAACCAGTCTTGAAACCTAATGGGTTCAGGGAAGTACTGGGAAGTGGGTGTTGGCAATTTCTTTTTTTGGGTGTTTTTTGTTGTTGTTGTAGTTTTTGTTTTTGTTGGGTTTTTTTTTTTGTTTTTTTTTTTTTTTTTTTTTTGAGACAAGGTTTCTCTGTAGCTTTGGCGCCTATTCTGGAACTAGCTCTCATAGACTAGGCTGGCCTCAGACTTACTGAGATCCGCCTACTTCTGCCTCCCAAGTGCTGGAATTAAAGGTGTGCGCCACCACCACGCGGCTGGCTATTTCCTTTTTGGGGTGCTAGGGATGGAACCCAGAGCCTTGTACGTGTTAAACAAATGCTCCAGTACTGACCTAGATCACTAGCATTTTGTAACATTTTCCCTTAATATATGTAGAAACTACCTAGATCATCAGGATCCCATCATTTAGATGAGTATAGGTGGTGACCCTGAAGACTATGCTGTGAACCCTTGAGCCAGTTGTCTGGAGCTGTGCGGCATCCCCCAGGTTCTCTAAAACTGAGGCCTGCTCCTGTCCTTGCTCTAGACGGGCAAGGCAGGGGTCCAGGAGCCACATGGAGAATATAAACAATATAAGGCTCCTTCTCTTTTTACTGATTCCTTTCCCTCCCTGCTGTTGGCTCATACTGGGACTTTGTGCAAGCTAAGTGAAGACTGCTTTCACTGAGCTGCATCCCTAGCCTGAATGGAAGCATTTCCTATGAGTTGAAATGTAGGTGCAGTGTTTGCCGTACATAGTCCTGGGCTGAAACAGATAGAGAACATTACTGCAACCATAGGCAGGGGCTTTCTTCACCTGGAGGGTGAATGGCCCCTGTCTGGCACAGGACCTCTTGGCATGCCAAGACACTGAGCATCCTTGGCTATGGACTCTAAGGCAAGAAGGGACCAGAGAGAATGGCTGGGCAGGCTGTTTGGCTGTGTTATGTCTCAGTTGACTTCAGCCACTCTCTGAGGGTTTCTAGCATAGTGAGTGCTTGACTTTTGTACTTAGCCAGTAAACAGAGGTGTGATCATGGAGAAAGGGACAGTTTCTGGGAGAGGCCTGGGAGCTCAGGGCTGTGCTTATAGCTTGTATCTGTCAGCAGCCAAGGCCTCGTCACAGGTGGGCCAATGGTGTGCACTTCCCCACCAGGCCCTTACGCTCCTGTTTTGGGTGGTCATGAGCACACTGCTGCTTGGCAGTTCTGAGAGCAAGCTTTGGGTCCCTAGGAGACCTCTGACAAGAGTGTGATAGAGCTACAGCAGTATGCCAAGAAGAACAGGCCCAACCTTCACATCCTGAGCAAGCTGCAAGAGGAAATGAAGAGGCTGGCTGCAGAGCGGGTGATTATCTCCTTTTCTCTCCTCTCCCCCAGGCCACCTGCCACCTACCCCCTAAACTCAACATCTACCCCCACAGTCCCCTGTACTGTTTCTGCCCATACCATAGTTACCAGGATTGCTGGGTCAGCTCCTTCCTTGTACCTAGATCTTAGGAGCCCATTTCTGATCCCTAACTCTGGAAATGCTTACTACTCGTCCTTCCAGATGAGGTTGATCTTTAAGTTCTAGCATGCATGGATGGTGCTTTCCTTAAAAACACAGTGCCTAAGGATCCAATTGGAGGGCAAGAATTGTGCACTGGCCTTGTACTTGATAACTCAAAGATCATAGAACAGTTAAGCCTAGGGAGAACCTGGTGGTCTTGGTAAAGCTTCCTAAAACTGCCATAGGTGTTCTGTCCCAATTGGGCTTTCTTACTGATTGTTTCCTGGCCTTGGAAAGTATTTTATAGTTACTCACACCCCTAGGCCTTCTGAGTTAAGAGCCATTCCAGATCTGGTGACATTGACCCAGGTATGAACACACTCTTAGTACCCAGTGTCAATTGCCAGTTGCCTTTCTACTGCTCTCGGGTAGGGGTAGGCCTTGTCTGCTAGAGTAAGCAGTACTTGCTAGCTTGACTCTTTTGGGTAGATTAGTTGTGGGGATCAAGACAACAGACTAAAGACACACAGTCCTTATTTGTAGGGAAAATTGACTGGGCTTCCAGGCAAGCAAGGCTAGGATGACACTCATCTTGGAGGGGTGGATCCCAGCTTGTTGCAAATTCTTCCGTTCTGGGTGTCTCTAGATTGCCAGGGAAACTGCAGCACATGGGAGTCTACCCTGGCATTCTGAGGAGACCCTCCTGGCCTGGTCCAACCCAGCCCGCTCCCTGTACCTTCCCTCCTAGCCAGGTATCACAAGCATTTGTGCTCTCGGAATTCAGGGGCTTCCACCCTTTTCACTCTTGTGAATCTCTTTGCTGGGTGTGCCTCTAGTATCACTGACTTATATTCTTCCAGGAGGAGACTCGGAAGAAGCCCAAGATGTCAATTGTAGCATCTGCCCAGCCTGGTGGTGAGCCCTTGTGCACAGTGGATGTATGAGGTAGGCGGCATGGGCCAACAGTGCTTCCCAGGAGACCATCAGCAACACATCACTGCAGCACCAGGCCTCCAACCTAAGTTCCCTTCCTGTGGCAATGTCTGGGCTTTGCTCTGACATGCAGGGACAGCTGTGACCCTACAGCACACGTTCAAAGAAGCAGTTCTTCTGGAAGCTGCTCTCAATGTGACTTGATATATTTAAGGATCAGCTATAAGTAACTGCACAAGTGGAAGCTGATAGCCAGCTGTAGATCCTGCTTGTACGTATCTGCTGCAGACTGTTTTTATGAAGGTTTCCATGAATTTTAGTACACTATATGCACTGACAAGAACTGATACTTGGTTGATAGATGAGATGACCAGGTTTTATAGCTTTGGCTGGCCTATGATGCCAGGTAGTCCTTCTGCTCATAGTTCCTTCTGGTGGACCCACTGAGACCTGGTCAGAAGGTACAGGTATCCTGTACTGTAGTATTAACTGCTTTGTGTGTTTCCCATTTTCCTCTGAAAAAGTTGTAACAGAAAGGGTGGTTTCAGGCTATTTTGGCTTAAAATAAAACAGAATTTTAGCACCAGAACACAGAGGTTGCACAGTGAAGATACTGAACTGTCAAGAATCTGAGTGTTAATCTGGTTGGCTCTTGGGTTGCAGTCTACTTTTTCTGATGATGTCTTAATGCCCTAAAAGCTGTCTTCTGGATACCCAACCTCTCCCACCTTCGATAAACTCTAGCAAATTTTTTACATAGATTTTTGCACAATCAAGTCCATCTGTTGATCAATTTTTTTTAAAGCCTCTGTTTGAGAATTTGGAAACTTACAATGAAAATAGAAGACTGGTTTAGAGTCGTGCATTTCAACAGATAGACTTGTGTAAAGGAAACAGGGCTGTCAGTGTAGCCCATCACTGACCAAGAGCTGGCACTGCACATAAGTAGTTTTGACTTCTCTGTATTTAGGAGTGACTGCTCTGTGCAGCCAGGCCTGATGTCAGTTTTAGTTTTGTCTACCCATGCTCTCTGGCTAGTCATGGAGATGTATATTGAGAGCCCTGTACCTGAAGATATATGGATGGTGTGTGTTGTCACAAAGATGGGATAACAGCTATCCCAATATTTCTCCCCTCATTACCTGTGGGCAGCAGTTAACTTCTGTGTTAATCTAAGCAAAAAGAATCCTCCAAATCAAGTTGCTAGAGCTGAACACCTGATTTCTTCTTTCTTGCCTCTCATTCATAGTTGTGATCAGCCTTTTGACTGACCATCGCCCTTAAAACAGATTTGCTATGGAGAAAGCCTTGAGCACATGGGCATGGTGATCTCTCTATAGTCCCATTTGCCCAGGCAATGTCAACAACAGGTGCTGCCATAACACTCCAGGTCTCCAGTGCCCTCCCCCTGTCTCTTACAGGCAGGTGAATTTTTTTTTAAATATTTACTTATTTATTATGTATATAATATTCTGTCTGTGTATATGCCTGCAGGCCAGAAGAGGGCACCAGACCTCATTACAGATGGTTGTGAGCCACCATGTGGTTGCTGGGAATTGAACTCAGGACCTTTGGAAGAGCAGGCAATGCTCTTAACCACTGAGCCATCTCTCCAGCCTGGCAGATTAATTTTTAAGGTACAGCAGCCATGCTACAATGCTGGGAGCCTGTGCAGACGCTGGCCATGGCTGTAGGGTATACCCTGATGGTCTGAACACATAAAACTGTCCACACAAGAATGGCTGGTTTCTTTCTTCTGATGAGTATTGGATGACTGTGGATCTTCAACCGGCTAGGAAGTGCCATGGCGTACACAAGTTAACCTCATGTAAACTCTGCATAGAGGGGTGTTCAGCAGTCACTACCTGCAGGGGCCATTCTCAGTGCTCACTCACCTGGAATATTTGGTGTTTGGCCCTAAAACCTGCTCTATCGGTGACTAAATTGAAGAGAGCCCTGGCATTCCTTTAAGCACAGTGAAGCTTGTGGCAAGTAGGAATGAGTCAAGGCTCTGTCTTTCACAAAACCATCAGTAAATCAGCAGTATTTATTCTAGATTCTGGCTGCCCCACTACAGGATACAGTGTTCATAATAACAGCTAGGTAGGCCTCATGCCGAGTTCCCAGCTTTTGTCTACTTCTGCAGTTCCCAGAACCTAGGATGAGAGGGAAGTCTCCGTTTCCTGTGAGGTGGTATCAGTAGTATTTCTTGGGGTTTCAGAGTCTTGATGCCCCAAGGCTCCTGTGCTTTTAGGGTATTGGTCCATCCTCTCAAACAGTATAAGCATCTCACAGTGTGGAGTTTGTGGGAACAGGTCCACGGCCACAGCCTTGACTGGGTGGAATGGAATGCCTTTTACTCTGTTAGATGGGGCCCTGCAGAGGCTGTGGTGGGAAGCAGATACCAATATTAGCCCCAGAGGTTTCTGTAGGTGGCAGATAGGTGTGTCCTCATCCCCCACCCGAATAAATACTTACTCCACAAAGTTGCCCATGGCTGCCCGGGGATTGCAGGAAACATACAGGAGTCGCTTGATATTCTCAGCTCTACGAATGGCCAGAATCACCTTGGAATCTAACAAAGCATAGGGGGCTAGTGTCTCCTAATGGTGGACTACCCAACATAGCTTTTTTTTTTTTTCTTCTCCCCAATTGGAAGCCACTCACGTAGTCCAGCCCGTGGTGGGTCTAGGACAGCTACAAGTCGCTGGGAAGACAATCTGCTCACCAAGCCTGGCACAAGATCTTCAGCCCTGCCGCAGTGGAACTCAACGTTGCTCAACTCTAGGGATAGTGACATAGTTGTCAATGATCTCTGGACCTAACAGGCTTGGATGGAAAGCATACAGTTCCCCCTTCTCCCAAAGATTTTCTGTCTCCAACCAGAAGTCTACAGATCCCTCAGTGCCCCACTTTGTAGAAGGCCCTCAAAACCCTAATCAGATTGTAGACCCGATTAAAGTGTCCAGCAGAAAGTCTTGCTGTGGCAGACCACCTGCTTGCTATGTGATAGAAAAGTTCTCACCATTGGTGAGAGCGTTCACACGGGCATCCTCCACAGCCTCCTGGCACAGCTCAATCCCGATGACTCTCTTTACCTTCTGGAATAAAGAGATAGACCCACTGCCCTGGTTGCTCAGGAAAGGAAGAGACAGCACAGCTGGGCTACCTCTGGGGTTTGATAGTAGCCTTCACACTCATGATCAACAGCGGGGAGATGTTCTAGGGCTAGAAGACTTACCGGGGCCAGAGCCAGGCCTATGGTGCCAGTGCCACAGCACACATCCAGCACGGTACTGCCCCCATCCAGCTGAGCCCATTCCTGGATGACTGTGTAGAGCACTTCAGCTGCAGGTGTGTTTACCTGGAGGTTAGTTAGCCATAGTGTACTCCAGTGTAGGCTAGCACCCCACACTACTTGGGTCACATTAGTGATCTCATACACTCTCCAGGCTTAAAAAAAATTCTTAAAACAGACATCCCCATTAATGGGGAGCTTTTTTCCTGACTCCCCTGATCAACTGAGAATGACTGCATATATTACGCTAGAGACTTTGGGACGACCCCCCCCCCCCACACACCTCCATAGTAGGGTTTTCCATAACAGTGAGAGTGGCTCTGCAGCTAAGGAGATTGCTACCATGGTATTCTGTTCTGGGTTTGGCAGGAAATGATAAGGTCACATGCAACATTGGGTCAACCACAAAGAAATCAAGTGACAGATTATCCCTTAGAGTCCCCATTACATGGATGTTCTTTAGAACTAAATCTCTTTTCCATTTTCCCCTTTATACCACACCTGCTATCACAGCCAGCTTCCCTGTATATTTGTGGTCATAAAGGAGATGCTACCTGGAAGAATGCTTGAGGGGAAATGCGGAAGGTCAGCCCCAGCAGGTCTTCCTGGATGCACTGGTCACCAGCCATATGCTCCAGGGGCAGGCCTTCCTGGCTGGGAGTCTTCCTACATGAGAAGCAGGATATCTGTCAGTGTTACTGGATATCTGGATACCCTTCCTGTCCCATCCTGGGCTTCTCACCTCTGTCCTTCCTCCACAAAGTAGAGGCAGGTCACCCCACTGGCCTTGCCTGGCCCTTCCATGAAGTAGTACACAAGTGAGGCCTTCAGCCCTGCCATTTCCTCCGAGCTCAGTTTCTGCAGTGGAGGATACGAAAAGCCCATTAGACTAAGAAAAACCCAACAAGACCTCCCCCAACAAGACCTCTGCCTGAGACCTGGGGGTGGAAGTAGGCAATGGCCATGGCCTGGCCTCTGCGGCTGGTACGAACAGTCAGCTGCTTCCAGTGGCCCGCATATGTCTCAGGGTCGTATGCCGAGTATGGGGTGGACCTGAGGAAGCCACAAGTGTCCCTGAGTACCTGGTGTGTGCCTGTCCCAGCACCCTACCCCTACAACTGCCAGGGCAAGGACCACACCCTCTGCTCCCTGGATTGGGGACTTCTCAGGAGCTCAACCCCAGGCCAGGTCCCCACCGAATGAATTCCTGGAAGGCCTTCACCACCTGCTTAGTGGCCTCTGGAATGTGCAAGGTGTCAAAGGGGGCTGCCACAGCACATGTTCCGCCCTTGTACTTGCTAAGCCGGCAGCCAACCGTGTTGTCTTCGCCATCTACCCCAACTCCGACCAGAAACTCACACTTATTACGATATTCAGTCTGCAGGAGAGAAGGTGGCAAAGGCAGCCATATCTCAACCTTGCTTGCCCAGCACCGGAAGAAACACCACAGTGAACAAGACACCTTGATGGGGCGGGCAGGCAAAACAAGGTTTTACTTTACTGCTGTCTTATTGAACTCCAGGGGAAAAAAAATGAAAAGTGGCAAGGAGGATAAGGAAAGTTCTTAGAAAACAGGATGATGGGCTGGCCCAGCCTTAAAGTATATGTGTAATGTGTGAAGCCCTGGGTTTAACCCCAGCACTGCATGACAAAAACCAGGAGAGGCCAACCTCCCCCCTCCCCACACAGAATGGGATTTCATAGTCAGCCTGACCTGCTGGGGTGATGGCTTGACTCCCTCCAATGGGCAACAAGCCTTATTGTGCTGTTGTCTCTGTGTGAGCAGCCAGGGTAGCAGGGCGCGGTTAGTATTCCCAATTTCCCTGTAGGATGAAGTATATCATGGTTGGACTTAAGAGTGTTCCCCATCTACACTGGGACCTCACTATTGCACTGGTACCATAGGGGCATTACTAACCAGCTCCCTCACCACTTAGACCAGAGGTTCTCAACCTTCCTAATGCAGCGACCGTTTAATAGTTTCTCATGTTGTGGTGACCCCTAGCCATAAATTTATTTCGGTGCTACTTCATAACTAAGTTTGCTGTTATGAATCGTAAATATGTTTTCCAATGGTCTTAGACGACCGACCCCCCCCCCTCCCAGGTTGAGAACCGCTAACTTATATGCCCTGTATGTGTTCTGAATAGAGTACAGGGCTGGTGGAACAGGTCAAGAGCAAAAGCTCACTCCTGGTTAGGATGTCAGTGCCACACTCACTTGGCCAGTTTCTGTAGCACCCGTTCACATTCCAGCCGCTTCTGCTCCAACTGCTCAGAGTAGGGCACTCTCCAAAGAGGGGTCACCACATCGGCAATCTGCGTTGCTGAAGGCTCACTATCACCTTCCTGCCGCCTCTTCCTAGCCATAGGGTCAGCCTTGGGTCGAGCCAGGCGCACGCTGAGTGGGCGTCCTTTCCAGAGAGCACCGTGCAGCACTCGTAAGGCCTTGTCTCGTTCAGCAGCGCTGCGAAATGTTACAAAGGCACATGGTGGTTGTCCGAAGAGTTTGATTTTGTGGGACTGTAGGCCAAAACGGCCCAAAAAGCGCCGGACGTCGCTAAAGCTGGCATGGCGAGGCACATTTTGCAGCTCCAATTTAAAGATCTCTGAGGTGAACAGGTCATCCCTTATGTAGCTGTAGAGCCCAGGTTGAGTTCCAGACTCTGCAGCTGGTGCAGGCCCCTCTTTCTCTTCTTTACTTTCTGGGACTCCAGGGCTGTGTTCTGCACTGGCCTCTGGGCCGCAGTCCTCCATGTGCTCTTGAACCTGTGTGGGGACAGACGGGCCAGGCTAAAGTTGTACCTACGATGACTACGGCCTCGGGCTAACTCCCTAAACCACTGCCAGATCTCCATAAGCTCACACTAACCCAGCTCTGCCCAGACCCGCTCCTCTCTACTCTTGAGACCCAGTTCTCTCCCATCCTATCTCTGATCCAACAGTAATGACTGCTACCCAATCCCACCCATCCACATCAGCTGCACGTCTCTCCCTTCGCTTTACTTCCGTGTCCAGCTTCTCACTCATCGCCCGGTTCGTCTGTCGCCCGGACCAGGGTGCTCACGAGGGCCACCACCTTGGTCTCTTACACACGAAGTGCTCAGAAATTAGGTGCGATGCCGTGAGGAAATGCTGCGGCTTCGCCTTATGCAGTAGAGGGACTCAAAACTCGGGTGCTCAGAGCCGGCACTGAGGACTGGGGATGCACCACTCGCTCCCCAGTAGCCAGCGAGAGCCACACTGCCTCGCCTGCCTCTCCCGTCGGCCAGTGCACACTAAGCGAGCCTGGTTTCTTTAAGGGCTCAGCTTCCGATGATGTCACCGCCACGCGCCGAGTCCTGACTGATCCTTCCACCAGCCGCTCACACTGACGTCAGGGGCACTCAGGGTTTGCAGACGGAAGTGCGCGCGTGGGTCGCCGGGATAGCGCGCTCCCCAGGCTAAGGCGAGGCCGGGCATGCGCCGCGAGCGTTTTGGCGGGAAGCGCGGGGCGGGCCGGACAATGAATGTCCGCCGTCAGAGCCAATAAAGCTGCAGTGGTTTTGAATCACGGCGCGTTTCCCGCCGCTGGGGTCAGGGGTCAGGGTTCGGGTCGGGGGGCGGAGGGAAGAGCGGACGGGCGGGAGACGCCGGCGCCAGACGCGGAGGAAAAGAAGCTGCGACCAGCCGCCCGGAGGCCGCCGAGCCAGCGACGCCTGAGCCAGTCGAGCCGCCGTCGCCGCGCCCCCATGGCGGCCACCAAGGTACGGCGAGGCCCGGGTGGGGCCGGGCAGGCCGGGAGGCAAGGGCCGCTATGGGCGGCCACGTGGGCGGCCCGCGCCTCTGCCGCCAACCCTCGCTGGCCTGCGGGTTCGGGGCCTGTCGAGGCGCCCGGGTCTGGGGGGCTCGAGGACTTTGGGTCCCGGGAGTGGGAGTTGCTGGCGAAGACTCGGGTCTCGGGGGCTGCGGGGCGGCGCATGACCTTGTGGTGCGCGGAAGAGCAGCCATCTCCACATCGGGCTCCCGGCTTTACCTGGGAACCTGGCAGTTGCGGATTTCCTTCGTCTTGGGGCCCTTGTGATGTTTCCACTAGCATCGGGAAGCCCTTCTTCTAGTTGCCCGCAGATCCCTTCATTCATTCGGTCATTACGCCTGGAACCGCCGCCGCCTTCGGTGGCGGAAGCTCGCGTTCCAGCGCGGGGTACAGATATAAGACGAGTGGACTCAGGGCGGGGGCGGCTTTGTTGGTGGCTCGCGTGTCGGCCGCAGCGGAGCCGCAGTGCTGTGAAACCGAAGGCCTTCTATTTCTTTATCCTGTGGAGTTAGGTAGTGTGAATCTGGGTTTTTTCCCCCCCTGTATTATCAAAGCACGTGATCTTGTCAGATTTAAACAACTGCATGCCCTTGTAATCCTTCAAGTTGGGTCAGAATCTTCAAGCTTACTTGTCAGACTTTTCTTAGCTTCTTTCAGCTTAAATTTCCAAGCTTGTGAAAAATGGCTCGGTGAACTGTGAGTTCATGTAAATGCTAATCATCCCATAGCAATTTATCTTCGTAGTAAACTAACAAGTGCCAGGAGAATCCGCAGTAAAAACCGCTAAGGTTGCTCTTCCTTTTGAGTTTTTCATGTTATTTACGTGTCGGGTATAATTTCATTTTACAGAGGAGGGACTTTCTCCAAGCTACTCTGGTGTGTGTGTGTGTGTGTGTGTGTGTGTGTGTGTGTGTATGTGTGTAACTGATGTCTGAATGTGCTGCGAGGGCTGGGGGTGATGAAATCCATTGTCTTGCTGCATGCTGTCTTGTGGTTTTTGTGATGCTGGTGTAAATGCAAACTGGTGATGTGAAAGACTGGAGACTTAATTTCCAATGTAGGGGAGGCCTGTCTTCATTTTTCAGGGCCGTTTTTGATTGGTGATGCCCACTGTGGGCCAGGTTCACCAGCCAGCAGCGTTACTTCTCCCCTCTCTGCACAGGACAGTCATGAGGACCATGATACCTCCACAGAGAATGCAGATGAATCCAACCATGACCCTCAGTTCGAGCCAATAGTTTCTCTTCCTGAGCAAGAAATCAAAACCCTGGAGGAAGATGAAGAGGAACTTTTCAAGATGTAAGTCCTCTGAGGTGTCCCTGTGGAAGTATCTTTAGATGGGCTGACTGAGACAGCGAGAGAGAAACGGCTCAATAATAAGCAGGTCTGGGACATTCCAATAAAAAAAACTTATAAAACTCCACAATCACAGTGGGACTATGCTCTTCTCTGTGCTTTCTGGAGGAGCCAGCCAGCTAGGACTGTGCTGGGGATTATTTCTCCTGTGCTTGGATATAAGCCTCTCTGTGATTTTTGTCTGGAACTTTGCAGAAGAATTCTAGGTTGGCAGGGCACATTATGATCCCTGTGAATTTCATGGCTTGGCCCCAGTCTGATAAAGGCTGTTTTAAGAAAGGACCTGGAGTTGTATGGTGACTAGTCTTACATTGAAAATTCAACCATTCTGCCAAACCTTTTCCTGCTTCCTTGGGGCCAGTGATGTGAAGGATGTCCCCAACATAGTTTTGTCACCTGGGTGTCATCCCAGCAGGCTGCTGTAGCATGCACCTTTAATTCCAGCACTCGGGAGATAGAAAGCAGGTAGATTTCTGTGGGTTTTTTAGGCCTGTCTGGTCTACAGAGTAAGTTCCAGGACAGCCAGGGCCACATTGTGAGGCCCTTTCTTGGGGGTGGGAGCTTCCTTTTCTTGAGCAGGAATCTTAACTTCTTTCTTTCCTTTTCTTTCTTTCTGCCTTGTTTTCTGTTGCCTTAACTGGGTATCCTTAAAGAACAGGTTGGTTTAGCTCTTGTTTGTTTTTTTTTTTTTTTCTAATTTTATATGTGTATGGGTGTTTTGCCTACATGGATGTCTCTACACAATCAATGTGCAGCCTGGTGCCCAAGGAGGCCAGAAGAAAGCAGCGGATCCCTGGGGACTAGAGTTACAGACAGTTTTGAGTTGCCATGTGGTCCTCTGGAAGAACAGCCAGTGCTCTTAACTGCTGAGCCATCTCTCCAGCCTCCAGCTCATGGTTTTGCAGGTTAGGAAGTCTGAGATCTGAGAGCATAGTGCTAGCATTTTGGTATGGGCCTCAGTCACATCTTAATGCGGCCATGTATCATGGAACTTGCTACGTTCCGTCTTTTACATACCCGCTAGTGCCATTGTTTGGCCCCTGTCCTCAGTCCTCGTGATTTCATCTGATCATCTTTACTTCTAAAGGGTGCTTCAAATATTATTAATGTGAATTTGGAAATTGAGTTAATGCCTAAACTGTAAGGACACATTCAAACCACAGCAGACAAATTGAGCTACAACCTATGCATTCCTGGTGCTGTGTCTTAACACAGAATGCCAGTGGAAATGTCTTAGCTATCAAAAATGCTTTTTTGAAATTACCACGTTTCTCTCTTAGAACCTTCAGTGAGGAACTGTAGCAATACTTGAGTAAACTTTGGATTTGCTGTTGTCTTGTTTACTGGCCTGGTGATTGAACACATGCTAGGCATGTACTGTACTGAGATGTATCTCTTGCCCCCTCCCTGCTCCAATTTTATACACCTGGTCTTGAATTTACCATTTACCTACTTTAGCTTCCTTAATATCTAGGATTACAAGCCTGTACTCTCAGGCCAAGACAGCAGCTGAGCACAAGATATCTTGTATCTGGTTTTACATCACAGCAGAGATTGGCTTGTTGTTTCCTGTGCTCAGAATTCCTGGACACTGGGGTTCAGGTACATTGTAGCAAAGGTTGTGTTACTGTCTCTGGCATTTCCCCTTCCCCCTTCAAGTATACCTAAAATGTCAGATTAAGGTACATCCGCTCTGAAGTTGGGGGCGGGGGCTGCTCAAGGAGAGCCCATAATATACCTTTGTACCCAGAAGGTGGTGGGTCAGAGCTCTGTGCTATAGCCCTGGGCAAGGGTGGCATCCCTTTGAGTTAGGTAGCATTTGATTTCGTCCATGTAGTGCTGACAGGACTGCTTTCCTGGGCAGTGTCCTTGGTGTAGCTCTGGAGACCAGCCTCTTGTGCCCTACATCAGGGCTTTCTCTTAAGAAGTGGGTGAAGACGTATCCCTTGAGACCGAGTTTGGAGGAGAGCAGAGACTTTAGCAGAGGAGAGGCAGGTGAGGGTTGCAGAGGAAGGGTGTTGGCCCGGCTTGAGGGACAAAAGAACTGGACTCGTTGCTGGCGCTAGGTGCCTGAACCCTGGTGTCTGCAACAGGTTCCTCCTGACAGGAAGCTGGTGCTGGGCCTGTGGAGGATGATATCCCTAAGGCTTTGTGTAAAGGGTGCTCATGTAGTGTGGCTGGACCATCCAGCTCGCTGGCGCTTCTACCCGCCCTGGGCCATGTGTACCCTTAGATACCTCTCCTGAGGAAAATGCTTCTGCTATGAATAGCTTTCTGGCTGTAAAGTAAAAGCAATGTGGAATTTGTTGGGCTGTTGTGCTCTCCTGGGCGGTGTTTGACTAGTATCTTGGCACCCAAAGACCTTAGAAAAATTTGGTGAGGACCCAGTGTCCAGCAGTACCGTTATGTTTTGCGCCCAGAGAACACATTTTCTTTTGGGGCAGTTGGTCCAGATGTGAATTCCCTCCCTGTCTTAAGTGTTTCTTTACTGGCTTTTCTTATAGGCGGGCAAAGCTATTCCGGTTTGCTTCAGAGAATGACCTCCCAGAATGGAAGGAGCGAGGCACTGGTGATGTCAAGCTCCTGAAGCATAAGGAGAAAGGGACCATCCGCCTTCTAATGAGGAGGGACAAGACTCTGAAGATATGCGCCAACCACTATAGTAGGTGGTCTTTCAGGTCTACACCCTGGAACTCTAGGAGCTGGTTACCAGGGGAGAGAGGGATATATTTGTGATGCTTAAAGTATCTTTCAAACAGGCCTCTGAACTTTGACGGTGAAGCTTACAGAATGCAGGCTGTGGGCAAGATAGGTCTAGAGCAGATGTAGAACTCCAGGATAGAGTTGGATGGTGATGCAGTGGGTACGTGTTTGTATGTTATCTGGGCAAGTTGTGGGGGTCTGGTGCCAAAGCTTTGTTTTCACTTTCTGATCATGCTCTACTCCCAGCTGTTACCTGGGATGATACCGGAAGGGAACAGTGCTAGGAAGAAGGTGAAGGAGGAGGGCTCTTGGCCAGATGTGGCCCTGTGGATCTAGAATGAGGTCTCAACAAGCCATCCCTTCCCTGTTTGTCTTGGAGGTTCTTTAGATCATTTTGGGGTGCTTTTGATCCTGATAGATCTAGTGCAAAAATCTCTATTTTCTAAACTTAAAAATATCCTCCAGGTGAGTTTGCATATGGAAGACAAAGAACAGCTTTGTGGAATCTACTCTTCCTTGACGCCTTTATGTGTGTTCTGGAGTCGAGCTCGGATCTCTGGGCTTGTCTAGCTAGTGCTTTTATCTAAATGCATTGTTTTCTTTAATTTGTGTGCACCTGTGCCATGGCTGTGACAGTTGAAGGACAACTTGTAGGAACTGGTTCTCTCCTTTCACCTTGTGGGTTCTGGGGTGGAACTAAGACTTTTGGGAAGTGCTTCTACTGGCACAGCTTTACAGACCCCGAATCTCTACCTTCTAGCTGATCGGGACCTTTTGTCTTGGGTACTTTGGCTGACTATAGGTAAGGGTGCAGTTAGGGCTTTAAAAGGTGGGTTTTGCTGAGGCAGAGACATGAGAAAGACCTTGATCCTCCCTTCCTCTCTCCCTCACAGTTGCCTCAGTCTCCCCTCAGTCCCAGTTTGGGGCACTCCTTTGCGGGGCGGAGGGCTGCTCTCAAAGCCTAGCTAGGTTCCAGAGTGGTCTCTGTAAGCCTCTCCACCTGGATGGAACTCCTTGTCCTTATCTTGCGTATCTCACAGGCCCTTGGCTGTTGTGAGTCAAGGTTGGGCATATTACTGTTCTATTGCTGTGAAGAGACACCATGATCAAACAACTCTTCTAAAAGAAGACATTTAATTGGGACTTGATTGCATTTTCAGAGGGTTAGTCCATGGGGGATGGGGGGCAGAGACAGAGAGACACACACTGAGCGACTGAGTTCATTAGCTTTTGAAACTTGAGAGCCCCCCCCTTCCTCTAACAGGGCCACACCTCCTAATCCTTCCATAACAGTTCTTCAACTGGGAACCAAGCATGCAAACATGAGTTTCTCGTCCATTCTCATTCAGACCACTACAGGCATCAAGTGGAGTGTGGGTGCTGTGCAGAGTTTCTGAGACCACCATGGGCTTTGATGGCCCAGCTCCCTGAGCTCCAGCTTTGGCGGTCGTGTAGGAGTAGTCAGATTGGTTCATGGGCTCTAGAATCCTCGAAATGCTGTCAGGGTACAGGGATCAGAGGCTGGCAACTATCTGTTGGTGCTATAACCTTCCCCCTTAGTTCTCCTTGGTTCAGTAGGACCTGAGGGATTCAGAATAAACATGCTTGTTATGAGCCATGGCTTGTCTTCATGACATACTAACATTGTCCTGAGATTCCAGTGTTTACTACTTGTGTTCTTACCCCTCAGACCTTCCTGGACTATAGAGGGTTGAGTAGTGGCATCGTATGATGCTCCTGCTTTCAGGCTTCTTCACCTCTGTGTTCCCATCTTTAAGTCAGCCAGGTTCATGCTGGTGTGGGCATGTGTTTGTAGCCATATGTTGGGCAAAGCCCTTAGGAAGGTTTGAGCCTGAGTGGCTATCCTTAAAACATCAGCAGACAGAACCTGTGCTTCAGGCTCCTGGGCTTGTTCCCACATAAGGATTATCTTGGTTTTAAGCAGATATGGTTTGTATAGGGCTTAGAGTTGTGTGGACCTATGGTAAAATTCCTTCCCAGGGGCAGACATAAGCAATGTCTGCACTTATGCCAGGGTCCCAATGACAAATGAAGGTGTGCTGCCACCAGAGTTTCCTCTGGGGAAACAATGAATTTATTGGCCTTTCCTAAGGTCAGAGGTGAGGTGTTACTTACAGGGGTGTTGAGTACTCCTCACCCCATCAGGCTATACTTGGAAAGCCTTGACTTAGCAGGGATGATGGCTTCTCTAAAGGTGGAGTCCCTCTGCCCGAGTCTTTCCCAACCTAATACTCTAGCCCCTCCTGGAGGAGGGCACATGGAATTAGGACAGAGTTGCATACAACCAGTGGTTACAAGGGTGAGGATCTTTGACTCTCTTCACCCTTAGGGAAATAAACAGTCAAATCCAGCTGGGATAATCTGTAAGTGGGCACAGTTGAACCCCCCAGTATGGTGGTTGCTTGGCTAGGAGGGTAATTAGGTACAACAACTTGGATCAAATTCCATGTTGGTTGAAGTAGGTCCCTCCCTCACTTGATGAGCAGGTTGCTCTGAGTGAGGGCTGAGTGGTTTGGCCAAGGGTCCTGCTGTTCTCACAGGCTTCTGTCTTCTAGTCACACCAATGATGGAGCTGAAGCCCAATGCTGGCAGCGACCGTGCCTGGGTCTGGAATACTCACGCCGACTTTGCAGATGAGTGCCCCAAGCCTGAACTGCTTGCCATCCGCTTCCTAAATGCTGAGAGTAAGGAGAACCTGCCCAACTGTGGGTCGCCTGCTGTGTGAAATCCTAGGGGGTCTGTATAAACAGTTGTTGCATCCAGTTGATTCCCATCCCGTGTGTGGAACAGAGACACACCCTAGAGTTTCCTCCTGCTGCTGCTTCTGCTGGGTTTCTGGTTCCTTAAGACTGGGACATTGGTGTCCCCTATGGATGCTTAGGCACCTGTTCCAGCCAAGATTGCAGAGATCTGCAAGCCCTGGCTGATCTTTCTTCCATGGGGAATTTTTCTAGTCCCCCATGTGCTATGCCCTAGGATCGTAGAGAGTCAGCAGGTACCATGGCCAGTGCCCTAGTGGCTGGTGCTCCTGTGAAAGTGAGCCTTCCCTTGTTCTGGGAGTATAGTATATCTCTGGTAGCCCTTCCAACAGGAGTAGAGCCTATAGCAGGAAGGGCCTTGGCCCTTGGTCGTCTGTTGATAAATAACTGAGGACAGTCACTGGCCTCAGGAGAGACTCAGTAACCAGTCACTGCAGGTGTTAGGTAGTCAGAAGCTGCCATTGGGGCTGGATTTGGTGGTGCTCACCTTTAATCCCAGCACCTGGGAGGCAGAGGCAGGCAGATCTCTGTCTTCCAGGACAGTCAGGGCTACGTAGCAAGAGCCTGTCTTTAAAAAGAATGAGAGAAATAGCCATTGGGGACTATGAGTTGGCTCTTGAGAACTTAAGGATGTCGCCAGTGTACTCTGAGAACTCCTTCAGTTCTTCTCTTTCTGCAGATGCACAAAAGTTCAAGACAAAGTTTGAAGAATGCAGGAAAGAGATTGAAGAGAGAGAAAAGAAAGGTGATGTGGTGCCCTGGGGTGATGAGGGTGGGTGCTGGAACTTCTTTGCAGATTCACTCTGCACCTGACTGCAGCTCCAGTCTGGTGCTTTTTCTGTCTGCCAAAGAAACATTCCAGGGTGCTGTGGCTGCCTCTGCCTGTTGGGGGTCATACAGCTACCTGGGGACATGGTGATTCCTTGGAGGCTTTGACTGCAGGTTGGCCTCATAGCATTCTTGCTCACTTCAGGTACAGAGCTGAGTTACAGCTCTTGGAAACCTACCAGGGGCGAAAGGGCTTTTCAGATACTCCTTTCTTTCTCTAAGAATTGTGTGTCCTGTTCCTCTGGGGCAGATGAGACCTGTGTTAGTAAGTGACCATAGATCGCTTGGTGGTAACCAGCAGCTTGTTGGGGCCTCTTGTGCCCATCTGGGGAGAGTGGTGGGTGATGCTTAGGGAACAGGTTGGGCTTGCACTGGTTGAGTGCCGAGAGTAGTACAATCTCACAACCAGATTTCTCTGTTTGGTGTCTTACTGCGTTTGCCTGTTTTTGCAGGACCAGGCAAAAATGATAATGCTGAAAAGGTGGCTGAGAAGCTGGAAGCCCTTTCTGTGAGGGAGGCCAGAGATGAGGCTGAAGAGAAATCTGAGGAGAAGCAATGAATCTGTCTGTCCTTTTCCTTCCTTTTTCTTTTAAAAAAATTTCCCTGCCCTTTAAGGTTTGTTTTTATTCTGTTTTGTTTTTACAAGGGACTTTATAAAGAACTGAATTCCAACCTTCAGGGGTTTTTTTGTTTTCTTTTGTTTTTTTTTTTTAATTCTTTTCTCCTTAAGTTTTGACACCATTGAACATGACTTCAGAAATCCATTCCCCAGTCATGAAAATGTACTGTGCTAACTTTCTTTTCCATAGTGGAAACACTTATTTATAGTCATCAAAAATAGTGAATAAAAATACCTTTGAAAACCTGGACCAACTGGCAAGGCTATGTGGGGGAAGGGGAGCTGTGCCTGGAACCCTCCTTGGTCACCTGTGTACCTGAGTGTGCATTGCAGGTCTGTGAAGCTGGTTTCTTAGGAGAATCAAATGGTGTGTCTGCTATTGCTCTTTAGGGAGCAATGAACACTATGGCCTGGTTTGTCCATGCTGTTCCTAGAAGCCACTAGGTGAGTGTGATGGCAGCTGAAGAGCCCAATGGGGCTGAGGCTGGCATTCGGGGCCAAAGTGTGGCTGTTGTCTTGCAGCTGGAACTATTTATTACTTTGTGCCCTTTGTAGATTTTGTGTGTGTGTGTGTGTGTTGGAGGGACATGAAGGAAGACCACTAGAGTAACCTGGTGAAGGGAGGCAGTAGGTAAACAAACGGATGTGGCTATTAAGAAAAACTGGTTTGGGTTGGCTATGGTTAATAAGGTAGCACTGAGCTCAGTGGAGAGAAAGGCCACCCTGGAGATGGATAGCCATTCTAGTGCTGTGTCACGGTGTAGCTGTGACTAGCCCTTTAACCCTCCTGTTGGAAACCATTAGATGCTTCAACACATCTTCAAATAACACTCGTAAGGGTTTGTGTCTAAAACTTACCATGTGTGGGGCTGGGGAAATGGCTCTTGTAGAGGATCTGAATTCAGTTCTAAATGCCCATACCAGGCTGCTTACAATTAAGCTCCAAGGAGTCAGACACACTGCCTCTCCCAGGTAGTGCATGCAAGTGTGTGTGTGTGTGTGTGTGTGTGTGTATACATATATATGAATGAGAGCACTGATATGCTGTATTATGGGCTGGCCTCAGGAGCTGCACCAGCCCTACCTATGACAGGACAGGAGCCATGGGGGGCCTGCTCCCATAAGAAGAGGAGCTGGTCTCACTCTTGCTGATTACCCCTAACATATACCAGAAGCGCTTGAAGAGGATGGGTCTCCACCTGTCAATTTGTGTATTGTCATTGACCCTGTTATGTCTGACCTTGTCAGACATGGTGTGTTTACAAATACAGCTTTTCTTTTTTAAAAACTTAAAAGGTAGCATTCAAGGTTTTCCATATAGGCATATTATACTTTATGTTCATACTACCCCACCTGCTGCAAAAGAACCTTTTCATCCCCCCAGCTGATCTTTAAAAGCCAACTAAAGACTACTGGCTGTCTCTTGGCTTTCTCCATTCGAGGAAGAGATCTGCACACATGGTGGGGCCTGATGAACTGGAATTTGTGACACTGACCACATGCGGTCTTCAATGTACTTCATAAAAGGGCTGCGTGATCTTCCTCAAGGGAAGCCCTGGACTGGGACATTGATTTTTGACATAGTGGAAAGTAACCTTTATCTTGAGTTGAAACAAGCAAATGGGCCTTTGGGGTGGGAGAATGCTCACCAAGTAGAAAGTTTCTTCCCATTCCCAGAGTTTGGCATTTTTCCCATGTATCTCTGGCAGTGGAGGAGGATGACTGGTGGCCTCCATACATAACATAAGTCTCTAGTCAAACCCAAAAGAGTTCCATGCTGCAAATACAGAAAAGCCCCTCCAAAGTGGTTAGGGGACACTGCTGTCTGTGCTCAAGCTGTATTCTGGTGTACTTAAGGAAATGGCTTGTTCACACTTTGAGGTGTAGCTGAAAGGAACATGCATTGATCCAAGTCTGCCCTATTGACAATGGACTGGAGGATATGAGTGAATTGTTGAAGCTACCCAGTCTGGCTGGCGTTTGTGTCCTGACGCAATGGGAGGCAGAGGCAGTGGGGTCTTATCAGGAGTTAGAACTATAAGAGACACACAGGTAGCTGGATAGTAGTGGCATATTCCTTTAAGCCCAGCACTTCAGAGGCAGGTGCATCTCTGTTGTGTGTCGAGGCCAGCCTGGTCTACAAAGAGTTCCAGGACAGCTTGGACTGTTAAACAGAGAAATCCTGTCTACAAAACAAAAATCACAAGCATACAGTAGCACCCTCTTATCCATAGGGGACATTCCAGGACCCCCAATAGACACTGCAAACTTAGGGGATGCCAAGCCCTGTTTATAAGTTAGGCATAGTGGGAGATGAAATCAGATAAACTGCAAAAAGGTTAAATATAGTCTAAATAGCTTACTGTAGGTCTTAGCAACCTCAACACAGATTCTTTGTTTTTTGAGACAGTGTTTCTAGCTCTCCTGGAACTAGCTCTATAGACCAGGCTGGCCTTGAACTCAGAGATCCACCTGTCTCTGCCCCCCCCCCTTTCCCCCCAGTGCTGGTATTAAAGGCATGCTCAGCACAAGTTCTTACCTATGTAGAACACTTTGGCCTTTTGCTTTACCAGGTCTCTGGCAATCACTACTGTAGAAACACAAGAAGGCTACAATAGAAACTAGGTAAGCCTAGGGAATTCACATTCAAAACAGAGAAGTGCAGTTAAGTTGGTTGGTTGGTTCACTTGAGACTCATTCAGCCCAGGTTGGCCTGAAGGTGTGTGTAGTAGAGGATAACCTTGAATCCTGTGTCTATCTCCTAATGCTGAAACTAGGTACATATGTTCTGTTTATATGATGTTGGGTTTTGTTAGGCAGGCATTCTACCAACTGAGCTACATCCTGACCCTTTTGTTGATGTGGGAGTCCTCTCTGTGTGCTGTGATTACCTTTAATGAATAAAGAAACTGCTTTGGACCTATAGCAAAGTAGAACTTAGGTAGGCAGGGAAAGTTAGGCTAAATGCTGGGAAAAAGAAGGATGGAGTCAGGAAGAAGCCATGGACCTTCCTCCAGAGTCAGACATGCCGAAACTGCCAGGAAGCCACTGACACGTGGCGATACACAAATTAATAGAAATGAGTTAAATTCAGATGTAAGAGTTAGCCAATAAGAAGCTAGAGCTAATGAGCCAAGCAGTGATTTAAACAATACAGTTTCTGTGTGATTATTTCAGGTCTAAGCTAGCTAGTCGTGCATCTGGGAAGAACAAGTGGCCTCCTCCAACAGATTGGCACACCAACATGGTAGACTAAATCCATGTAAAACCTGAGAGTTTGAAAAGGAATTCTAGACACACACACACACACAAAAAAAAAAAAAAAAAAAAACAACAGAGTTTAACACAGCTTCTTGCTGTTTGCTGGCTGCATGCAGCAGCTCCGTTAAGAGAGGTTTTCCTGACTCAGTGATAGCAGAAAAGCAGTGCCGTTTTGAAATGCCAGCTTTCTGGGATGTGTTGCCAGCATGACCTCTGGCTCTTTCTGGAGACGGAGCATTTGGATGGGGCACAGCTTGCTTGATGGCAACATGGGCCAGCTGTGTGTCTAAAAGTGGGGCGGTATGTGTGTCTCTCAGATGTTTGAGTAGCTATGCCACGCTGGACTGGGTGGGACAAACAGGAAGTACTGTGTATACCACAGTAATAATGCAACTTAAGTTTTAGACTGGGCAGACAAGCAAGAAGTGCAATATATACCATAGTATTGGCGCAGCTTAGGTTTTAAGAAGCGCTTAGCATTTTAAAAAGCACTCCTGGACAGTAAAGAAGTACAGATATGCAATAAAGACAAACTCAGATGAGTCATCGTGTTGGATAAAGGTACTTAGGCTTGAAAGAGAAAAGAAAAAGTATAGAGAGTCATAAAATAAAGTTAATGCTTCAAAAAAGGTATAGTTTAGAGTACAGATAGTAATAGATTAAAAGGAGTAAAGAAAAATAAGCCACGTAAAGATGGAAAATTCACAGAGAGTCTGTATTATGTATATTGTCTTATCTTTGAATTTTTTGACTGTGAATGAGCTAAGTACAGAGAGACATTTCATTGTATGGGCTGTTAAGCAAAACCAGCATATACATTATAAAGGTATCATGACTTCCAAATTTGGGTCTAATGATATGTTGCTTTGGAAAAGAGGTTCTTTTCTTGTTTCCACAGAGGATGAGAACCTGTGGATTGCTTTCAGACTGGTGTGGTTTGATGGAACAAGACCCTCCCCTGAAAGTTGCCATAAACACCCCCCAAAAATTACTACGGCCAACAATCAGCAGGAAGCAGTATGGAGAAAACTACGCCCATATTCCCAAATATTGTCTATAAGTGTTTGTTTACATTTAAAGGGGGATATGATATAGATATGAATAATTTGCATTGGTATGGATCTTGGTTTATTGATACAAATTTAGGGTCAATTTTGTTATATGTATATGTATTTCTGATCTTGATTAAGGTATTGTGTTTGGGTAGCTCATTTAAACATGTAATGTATAATTAAGAAATATAAGTTAATAGATACTCATCTATAATAGTCAAGCTTGTAGTCAGATTTTCTAGATGTATAGAGATATATTTCAGTTAGATAGGTATTCTTCAAATCTTTCAGAGACCTTCAGAATATGGCATTTAAAATGTTTTAATAACTTAGGACTTTTCATGATAATGAGACACATCTGCTCCTGGCAGCACAAGCTACTTCAAGAGGAAGATGGACATCGAAAAGGCTCCTTATGGAGTTTGCTAGCTATTTGGACAAGAAACTGCTCCTGCCTGGACTGTTGAACTGGATATGCAGGACCCACAAAGAAATGACTGCTGAACTTGTCTAAAGGTGAGATGATCCTTCAGGGTTTCTGCTTCATGAAAGCCTGCCAGACATTCTGCAGGACACAGAAAAAAGTGACTGACAAACTGCCAGTATAGGTGGAACTGTCTTTGAAATTTCCTGCTTCATGAAAAAGTCTGCTGGATACTATGGGCCTGTGGGCTGAAGATGGATGCCCCAATGGTACAGAAGAACTTTTGGTGACTGTCCAGGCAGCAAGATGTCTCTGTCAATTCTAAAATTTTGGAAGCTTCTTGCAATGCACTTCCTGTTTACTTATGTAATATTATATCCTTCTGGAGTCTCTGATGGAGTTGAAGAATAGATAGATAGTTATAGTTTTCTTTAGTTATGATAAAAGATAAAGTAGATATAAATATTGTAACTGTAATTCTTGTTTGACACCTGTTTTGTTATATGTAATTTT